TATAATATATTGTTTGAGGTTATTGTTATGTAGTAGTACCACTGTTCAGTAAATATTTTTGGCTGCCCACGTGTTTTTCCCGTGAGGACAAAGGAACAAAGGAATTTACCAAATAACTCTAAATTAATTGTCGTTATACAATAGTTAAAGCCAACTAGTACTGATTTTTACCACCCCAAACAACTCTTATTTCAACCAAAGATATAAATATGCCCTCTTTTACAAATTTTAATATTGAATAAAAACCAAAACTATTAATTAAAATTTTCCTTGTTCCTTTGTTCTCACGTAAAATTCCTCACTCACAAATTGAAGCATTAGCACAAACAGAAAAGAAAGGCTGGAAGGTTGTTAAACAGAGCGGACATGTTTTCCTTAGCTCCCGGACTTTAATGATAATATTGGATGATTCGCTACACTAGGAAAAGCTAAGGTAAAGTAAAATCTACTCAAATATACTTAAATCCACTAAATTTATAAAAGTCTATTTAAAAATCTACTTTACCTCATAACTATAAATTAATTGCCGTTATATAATCACTAAAAGCCACCATAGCAGTCAGAGTTGGTTCTTAAATATACCCAGGCGGAATCACGTGACCCAAGACGTTAGATGGCACTACAAAGCCCGCTAAACATATAAAATCACAACATAAACTTGAACGAAACGAAATATTAAATAACGAAACAAAAACTTGAAGTCCATGTGGTTACCTCGTTACAGTATGGCCAATCTAACATATTGTGACCTTGTAGAGAAAATGCATTGATGCTGAAATATGTGATCCATTTCACTATAATCTGTTTATTGTCCAGCCTCTCGTAAAATGCCGCACAGCCTATGACAAAATCTTCGTTGAGTTCATCTTTGAAGGTATTTTAGATTAGCATAATGATTAATGGATTTGGAAACAGTTCTAAGAAACAAATTTAGAGACTATGTAGATAAAAATAATTGTAATCTAATTCCTGTCGGTGTTGCTTAGTCTTTTTTAACCAGACTCACACGTGACTAATTGATCTATTAAAAATCTGTTTTCACCGTTTGTGGTCCATTTCTTTTTTTTCTTTTCTTCTTCTGTTCGAGAAATGCATTAAAGACATATTTTAACGTACTATAGGGTTAAGATAAGATTTTTTTTAATTTAACGTCGGTATGATTTAAGGCAAAAGTTCAATATCATCTCTACTGAGCATTTTACAGACACTACAGAAAAATAGTCATTGCAACATCATGGACGATTTGCAAGACATACAAACACAGCATAGTATATAAACAAAAATAACAACTTCGGAATACGTGGCACAATCGGTAAAATATTTTAAAAAATCAAAATACTATCTCATTTGTCGAAATGGAAGACTTAGTGAAACTTTAGGTTAAATAAATTGTGCTTTGAAGTTAGCATAGTCAAGCCAGAGAGGTCTTAAGAAGCATCACTGATTAGTTCTTTATTTCATCTCTGAACACATAAAATGGGTTACGTTAAGCTTCAGTAGCAACTGACCGGGTCAGTTTTGCTAATACAGTGACGAGAGCGCGATGGAACTCGACCGTAGCTGTTCAAAAAGGGGCGCGTGTCAAATGATTGATTTTTCAAAGGAAGCTAATTGCAGCACATTTTAGGCTAGTAAAATCTGATGTTAGACATGATTTTTGGAGGGAAATTTAATGAATAGTTATTTCCTATTGGTCAGGGAAACGAAGGGCGTAAACTTTGGGAAACAATTTAGGATATCCTTTGTCAAAATTCTTTAGTCCGATTTTTCTTGAAAGATGGCTAAGACCGACTCCGGAAAAGCCTAGTGAGTAGCATTTCTTCGTAAAAAAGGAACTCATAGAAAAGTTGCAGACAGCTGTCTTGAAAAGAAGGATAGGTTTTAGGCTAGGACACTTCTTTCGGAAAGAAACAGTATTAAGGTACACAATTTTAGATTCCAATTTAATATTATATTTCATTTGTTTGGTTCTTTGCAAATGTGTTGATATGCTTATGATTCACGCATTATCGTGTATGCATTTCGTAGGACTCTGTTGATATGTTAGTTTTATGCCATTTAGTTCTTTGATTTTTCAGTTATTAATTCATTAAAATAATTGAAGGATTACATGTAATTAAATGTTCAATGTGTCGAATTTCATGAGGATTTTACGAATTCACCCTAATATACAAATTTGTCATATTTCTTGGGATATAAGAATTGATTATCTGGGTAGGATAATATTTGCTCTTGTGAGTTAATAACAAAGGTATATTTATATATGATTTCGCAATAATTAAATGATCATGCAAGTTAATTTAGTGTAACCAGATTTAGTGGATATTATGCCATAAGTAAAGGAGCATTTCTTTTATTGAACCGCGTTGTCTAGCCAAAGGTAAATAAGGTAAATAAGACGTGTAGTAATGTATCTTGTTATATATGGCCGATATGTCAGAAATTATGCAAAGCGCTTCCATTATCTGATGCGACCAAATATAATTATCTATATATGTAGAAGTGTATATGAATTTGTCTACCTTTGGGCATTTTATATATATATATATATATATATATATATATATATATATATATATATATATATATATATATATATATATATATATATATATATATATATATATATATATATATATGTGTGTGTGTGTGTATGTATGCATGTATGTATGTATGTATGTATGTATGTATGTATGTATGTATGTATGTATGTATGTATGTATGTATGTATGTATGTATGTATGTATGTATGTATGTATGTATGTATGTATGTATGTATGTATGTATAAGGAAGCAGCTTAAAACTCAGACAGAGACAGACAGACAGACAGACAGAGTCAAAGAACCCGATGAATAAAGGTGAAGAACACATCTACGATAGGTCGGAATAGTCAAGGGTCGAAGAGGACCAAAGTAGACATACTAGACATGGAGACAAGACGAAAAGGAGATAGACCATGTGATGGTGTCAATGAGTGGGGATTGCACTCAAACACATCACACTTATATGATGAAAAGTGGACCGTGACTAAATTCTGTCACTGTAAATCATTTGGCTCGTAAAGTGAAATTTGGCTATGCATTAATTATTGGAAAGCAAATTTGTTTATGTATTGAGCACATTTGATTTAGGAAATCTGTTGAATAAAAGTGATTTTCTTTTCATTATATGTTAATTGATTTTTTTATTAATATTTGTATTTTTATTTGTTGAAGAGGGTTCGTTGTTATTTATTTCTTTCGTTAATTTGCTCATCTATCGGTTAGGTTTCATGTGTCTGTACACATTGGGATTTAAACCCTGGAGATCATTCCCTATCTGAATCAATTAAGGAGGGTTTAATATAGTGTTTTAAATCCCCCGTTACACATTCTTTAATGGCTGGGTCACTAAGAAGAGTACCATCGACACGGAAGCCATGTAGTTTGGACATATATTAAGCTTGATTCTCCAAGAAAGAGCTTAAACGGTGTTTTAAATTGTTCAAAAGAAACCGGAAAAGATTAAAAATGGGTTAGCGATTCCTCAACAGCAAACAATCTCAGTGGTTATAAGATAGTCAGATATATTTATTCTCATGGTTTCCAACTGATATAAAAGTTTACAGAAGCCACAAAATATTTCTTTGATGAAGAAGAAAAAGTATACATAAATTACTAACGTATTCAAATACAATTTTGACACTGATAGTTCATTAATGCATCCACCTGCACTTGAACATATAAGAAAATGTGAACGCTCACAAAAATGTTTTATTATTGTGTTTGTTGTTAGATAAATATTCTGCATAATCAACTAAATCGGCATTTAAATATTGGTAAATGTACCTAAATGAATCTCATTATGAAATATTGCGTGGAGTGAAAAAATGAAACGACTGGACACAAACGTTTTCAACTACATCGTTATCATCTGTACAACGTTTCTGTTCAGCAAAACAGGCTATGGAGAATGGTTAATGATATATGAACATGCAACTAGGTGGACCCTGAGGAGAAACTAGATAAGTGGCTGTACCATCAAAAAAATCTGTGTTTCACTTTTGACGATAGTGGAATTGATGAAAATGTAGAAAAGATAGCAACTAACACAACTGGCTTTTAATAGCAGATATTTTCAATTTACAGTATGCGAGTTTGAACAAAATTATAACTCTGATCACAGATTTTGGACAGAATCTAATAGATAGATAGATAGATAGATAGATAGATAGATAGATAGATAGATAGATAGATAGATAGATAGATAGATAGATAGATAGATAGATAGATAGATAGATAGATAGATAGATAGATAGATAGATAGATAGATAGATAGATAGATAGATAGATAGATAGATAGATAGATAGATAGATAAACTGACGACGAACAGTGAAAAAATAATTACTAGTTTCACACTGTTCGTCGTCAGTTTATTGCCTCTATGTTAATGAATCCCTGACACACGAGATCGCTGTTGGATCCAGTGCGCTTAAAAGTATTGGTTTTCGCCAAATGATTTGTATTCTTTATATATATATATATATATATATATATATATATATATATATATATATATATATATATATATATATATATATATATATATATATATATATATATATATATATATATATATATATATATAATATATATATATATATATATACATACATATGTATATATATATATATATATATATATATATATATATATATATATATATATATATATATATATATATATATATATATATATATATATATATGTGTGTGTGTGTGTGTGTGTGTGTGTGTGATTTAGATTTTTAACGTAGCTTTAACAATTTTTTCAGTCAAGTCTGCAGTGTGGCAGTTTATAGTGATGTCTAGCACTGGGGCATCATGCCGCAGACATGTAACATGATCTCCCACCAAGTCATATTATCCTGACACCAGGCCGACCAGTCCTAACACTACCCTCTTAATGCTGAGCGCCAAGCGAGGTAGCTGTTAGTGCCATTTTTTAAAAGTCTTTGGTATGACTCAGCCAGAGTTCGAACACACGACCTCCCGTATCAGAGGCGGACGCTCTAACCACTAGGCCACCGGGGCGGTCTGTACCTTGATGTCTTAGGTCTTCATCTGTTGGCCATGGGCAAATGCCTGAAGCTTAAAAACGTGAAGGAGAATGATACTGCATGAATTTTAGAAGTAGATTAGAGATTCCATTTCAATTCAAATCCGTCATCTTCAAAGAAATGAATTCGAGACTAAATATATTTTTCGGAGAAGAAATTTATAATTATTTTTAGAAAAACACATACTTCAACTATTCCTCAACGGTTGAGTGGAAATAAAATGAAATGTGAGCATTTAATTCATTAAAGAAATTTCAAAAATGTATGAAGTGCTGTTTTCATTGAAATGAATTCCAAAGTATACAGGCTTTTCTTGCAGTAAGGAAAAAAACTCATAAAGTAGTTTATTGATGCTAGCTATTTTCTGAAATATGTAATACTCAGACAGAAATGACGCTAGAGTTTATGAGTTAAATGAGTTAAATGAGTTAAATCTCTAATATACTCATTGTCATGAGACGTCATACCATATATAATCCCACACCTACACCCCTCAATCTGAGTTCAGTTTGGAAGGTGTTCAGACGTAATGCTGATGAAGTGTACTTAGCACCCTCCCCTTTCTCCATGAAGGAATCATCGAGGATCGAAACACTTCGTTAGCATCTAGGGAATATAATCTGTGTGATTTTAATTAATATGAAAAAAGGAGGGCTGCACGGTGATGGGCCGCCTGATCTAAAGGCAGATCCACCTCTTTGGCAAAGTCAGTCATTGCCAGTATGATCACCTTCTTGCAGCCGCTGCAACTTCGCGTACTAAGTCTCAGAATGTTAGCCCTTCTATAACTTGGAGGATCGATCATTTTTTTCAGTGATTTGTAATAGTGGCTTCTATCGGATTTCACGAGTTGCCTCCACTAATATGTTATGCCAACTAACCAATAGAAAAGCATATAACAGCGGTGCATTGTACATGGGCCGAAAATGGTGGAGGCAGTTGACTGGAAAAGTATACTTTGCAAGTTAACCATGGAAAGTCTGACTACGTAGCAGAAATAAACACCGATAAATTTGAGGGAAAATGTTAGTAAAATAGACTGGGACTACATTGATGGGTATTGAACGGGAAGTAATAGTGACCTGAAACCAGATCTCACCAGTACACACAAAAGGTTTGACTGAACAAGACTAGCATGCGAACACACATATGAAATATGTCGTAATGAAGAGAACTTGTCTGGGTTATCTTTCTTTCGGTTGTTACTATTGAATATTCGGATCATTTTATCAGTACCGGTTAATCATAATAGGAAAAATTTAATTAAAATAATTGTCTCTGCTGTGTGATTGTAGGGTCTCTCCTTTTCATAAAAATTGGGTTGTTTTATGGAATAAATCTGAGAATTTAAACGAAAAGTAGAATGCTAAATATTCTACAGGTAACGATAGTATAGCCTGAGCAAAAACTGTGCATCTTTGACCAGTACTGTCGGTGTACGTCAAAGATGTATTCTTTCGCCTTATGTTTTTTTTCCTTATTTGTATACAGTTTACATGGAGACTCATCACACACACACACACACACACACACACACACACACATATATATATATATATATATATATATATATATATATATATATTCTCTCTCTCTCTCTCTCTCTCTCTCTCTCTCTCTCTCTCTCTCTCTCTCTCTCTCTCTCTCTCTCTGTGCGTTACCCAAATTCTAACAAACATGCAATTATTGACAAGCAAACTTAAATGTTGAAACGTTGCTATGATAAATTAGAACTAAAAAATGTAGTTTTCCGTAAAATTTGTAATATGCGGTTAACAAATGTTCTTTGGGAAATCGTCAACTAAACGTCTTTCCGTAGTGTAAGATTTTGACCTTGACTTTGAACAAGCTTAAAGATATTATTTTCAGTTAAACGCACATTGTTGAACTTCTGAAAAATATTAGCATTCATGCTTTTTCAGATTTTCAGTATTATTATTATTTTACGATTTGATTATATACAAATTACATTAAATAAACCATGTCACGTTGAGGATGTACTGTTAACCACTTTTTGATGGGAGAGACAGGAATAATTAGCCTTAAATACTTGTATATGATAGTAGCAATTAAATACTGGTTAAAGATACTTGCAGTCAACTTTCTATACTTTATTGCAAGATTCAGTTGAAGTGGAAGACTCCCATTTTTGAGAGTTTACGGTTCACTAAATCAGGGATGTAATTTATGTTTATTGTTAGTAGGAAATGTGATTAATCCAGGTGTTACCGACATAGACGGTTTTATGAATTTATTTAAACAAATATGTGTTGATACTGATGTGCAAACATGACGTAGTAAAGTATATGTACTGAATAGAGTGAGAGTTCACAAATAATTAAGCATCATTTTTGTAAAAAAAAATCATACTCAGACATTATTTGAAAAAACGATTGTACCTAAATTGACATTTAAAATTTAGAGGAACCTGTAAGAATCTAAGAGTTAGCAATAGGAGGTATGATCATAATTCTTACTATGAAAGAAAATATACAAATGACTTTGAGACTGAATCTTATTTTGTGTCTATAAATCTTTTGCGCTTCAGCGTTAACTGGTTATCAACCTAGATTTATTTATATGCATCTAACAAAGACAATTTTTAAGTTTGCTGCACAAAATAAACTCGTATCAAACTCCATTTCAATTTCATTTTATATGCATTGAATCATACATAAAGTCTCGTACATTTTCATGTGTGGAATTATATATATATATATATATATATATATATATATATATATATATATATATATATATATATATATATATATATATATATATATATATATATATATGTCAATGCCATTATATTTTCACTCGCTACTATTGTTGTTTTGTATATGATCATTTGTAACTGGAAAATGGGACTTACATTACATAAAGATTTCAACCGCTCTGGTGGCCTAGTGGTTAGAGCGTCCGCCTCGAATGCGGGAGGTCGTGGGTTCGGTCCCATTTCGAGTCATACCAAAGACTAACTAAAATGGTACTAACAGCTGCCTCGCTTGACACTCATCATTAAGAGATTAGTGTTAGGACTGGTCGGCCTGGTGTCAGGTTAATGTGACTGGGTGGGACATGATGCTACATGTCTGCGGCATGATGCCCCAGTGCAAGACATAACTATAAACTGTCACACTGCAGATATCGTGGCGATATGACTGAAAAATTGTTAAAGGTACGTTAAAAAAAATTATAAATACCACCACCATACAGATTTCTAATTCTACTTTTCTAAAGTGATGGACACTGTAATTTATACACGTGTAAAGTTCGTTCTATCATCCCTTTAGGACACACGGTACTAATTATATGGAAGAAATGCGTACCAGTTTAGAAATGGGTGAAGAAATAATAGAGTATATACGGGTTTGGTTATCCATAATTGGTAAATAATGAAAAGTACAATTTTAGTAAAAATATCTTTTGAAAGCTTATCCTATGTGTAATTTTTAAAAAAAATATAGACAAATTTCTATTGGTGCAATTTTAGTATTTTTTAAAGACTTGACTTAGGATTACTCAATAATGAAAGTAACTCTTGATTCGCTTGGTGCAGAATCAATAACATGTGCTTCATGCACATGTAGGTAAAAAGAAAATGCCGCGACTCATATGGTGTTCTCCACACAGAAGCATGCACCAAGGATAGTTGTGCATGGTGAAATATAGATCTGATTATCAGTACCCAGAAATTTTAGGTTATTGAATCTTAACCATATGTTTAATATGTTTAGGTTATTGAATCTTAACCATATGTTTTTACTATGGTAGTTGAATTAGTACCGCGACTCCTTTAATGCTTAGACGATACGAATAATGTGACCTATCTTTGTCCCGACTTTTGCCGAATGGAAACCATATAGTACATAGATGGTTACCATGGGCAGCTGGAGACAGATCAACATACCAGCATCTTTATTTTTACAAACGAATGATACTAAAATGTTTTATTTTATTTTTATCAGAAGCGTATTTTAGATGTGTTAATCTACCCTCAATTATTGCGGTAAAGATTAAAACGATTAAAACGACATTATTAACGGTAGCAAAGGGAGTTTACAATTGCATTAAGCTGGCACCATTATTACTCGATATATATAAATTCATTAAAAATTCATACACTTATGTTGTCATATTATAGCAATATGTCAGTAAGACAACACAAATATATAAACTTGTCTACATATTTCAATATTTTGCCAATATGTGGTCATAAGTAATACGCTTTGCTGTGATAAAAGACGTCATCTTTATCTTGTTTACAAGTTTCTCCTTGTGACGACCACAACTTAATCATCGGTAGCTTACATAAACAGACGGTATTGCGTGGAAAAAAGTGATTTCGATGAATTGCGTGTACAATAATTTTTTTTAAAAAAAAAACAACTCGATTGTTCTATTTGCTACACATCGGTCCTGTTCAATTCTTGCTAAGTGTTTCTGGAATTGATATTCATGCAAGAAAACCAGTCGATGCAAGATTTACTTCCAAACTAGCAGATATGTTCATTTTCAAAATGCCCGAGTTCAGTCACGATACACTGTACAAATGTATAATTAACTAAAGGTTCATGATGTAATCGAGCCTGTTTTTAAATCTAGCTTGCTTTAAAGGAAACTTTCTCTGTCATAATTCATTGAAAAGATGTCAACAGCTGCATTAAACATATTGTAGATCTTTCGTATTTTCAATTTCTGAGTCGTTCTTGTGCTCGGTCACTAAATATAAATTTTACAAGCGATTAAATGTTGGCGAGAAAGTCAATCAGTTTAGTTCGTTATTTCTGAAATCTGGTTAGGGACACCTATTAAGTGAAATTAAATTGGCAGAAACACTTGTTAAATTGATGAGTCACAATATAAAAGACAGTAAAGCAGATATTTTATCACAATGTATATGCGAAGCGATGACCAAATCAATCAAAATCATCCTTTAAAGATGTCCTTGGCAACATTCGAATTTGTAAC